CAAAAAAAAAAAAAAAAAAAAAAAAAAAAAAAACTCAGAAAGCTATCTGGAAACTTCAGCAGTCCTCAATGATTCCAATAGGATCAAATGAGCCTTACAGGTGCACCTGAGTACAGCCTCAGGTGAAGGCAGGTAAGAAGAGAAATAATGCAAAGGAAAGGGCTAGAAGGAAAGGAGAACACAAAGAGATCGGGGTGGTGGTAAAGGAGTGTCACCAATACTGCCTCAGAAAGGTAAACACTTAGTTTAAGGAAAAATACAAAGAAAAAGCAATTCAAACCAACCAAGAAACCTCACCTGAACAAATAAATCAGAGCTATATGCAAACATGGCTAATCCCAGGAATATAACATTGAGCCAAAAAAGAAGCAAATCACAAAATACAAATGATTCCATTCATATGAAATTTATAACTATTCAACATAGAACAATATTCTTCAGGGATCACACTAAAAAGCATGGCAGGGAATGAGGATAGTGGTTACCTCTAAGAGGGAAGGGAAAAGGATGGAATCAACGAGAGCCACACAAGGGACTTCAAAAGTAACGGTATTGTTATTTTTCTAAAACTGGGTGGTGGGGGCTTCCCTGGTGGCGCAGTGGTTAAGAATCTGCCTGCCAATACAGAGGACACGGGTTCAAGCCCTGGTCCCGGAAGATCCCACGTGCCGCGGAACAACTAAGCCTGTGTGCCACAACTACCGAAGCCCGCACGCCTGGAGCCAGTGCTCTGCAGCAAGAGAAGCCACTGCAATGAGAAGCCCGCGCACCGCAACGAGGAGTAGCCCCTGCTCACCGCAACTAGAGAAAGCCCACACGCAGCAACGAAGATCCAACACAGCCAAGGTAAATAAATTTTTTTTTAAAAATTAAAAATTAAAAAACCCAGGTGGTGGGAATACAGGTGTCCATGATATTGTCATTCTTTATGCCTCACTATTTTTTATGATTACTTATCCACTCCATATTCAATTTTAAAAACAATTTACTTATCCACTCCATGTTCAATTTTAAAAACAATTTTTAAAAACCTTTCTCCGTCTGAAAAAAGAACAAAGCCTTCAAATAAATGTCACCAGATGCATATCTTATATGGCCTGTTTCTCCAAAGATATCTATTTCTGAGAGATAAACACCAAAGCTCAAAGTCTGAAAGTACTTCTCAGCAGATATGGCCTCTCACAGTGCCCTCCCTCTTACCATTCAGAAAACAGCAAGTGTTCCCCTTCATTTCTTGATAAACGCTGATCCATCATCAGGAAACCTTAGAAAGAATGCCTACTCCACAGGACCCTAAACATTCCTAAGGCATTTTACTGCCAAGAGTTACGTTCTTTTGAAGTTATCTAAACTAAGTAAACACTGAATTCTTATGCTAGAGGATGGAGAACAATCTTTTCTGAAAAGACTTGGGCAGTCACTGGACTGGTTCAAAGTAGTCAATTTGTCCTTCAGTAAAACTCTACCTCTAACTCTACTTCAGCATGTCTATTCTCTAATTTAGTGGCTCTTAAGCTTTCTGACAACCCCAATAAGAAAGATGCTTTACCTTGAGACACAACATACACACTCACATGTAAAGTTTCACGAAACAATACTTAGTCTTCCTGTAGGCAAAACCCTCTGATATAGTCCACTGTATGCAATTTTTATTTTTTATGCTGGTCACGATCCACTAAATTGATTTAATAACTCACCAAAGGGTTGCAACCTACAGTTTGAAAAGCGCTGCTACAATCAGCTCTGCCCATCTCTGCTAATACTTATTATTAAAAGAGAGTATCTAGAACTACCATAATTTGTAATATGCTTTAGATAACCGTGTCCAACAAATGCTGTAGTAGACAAAAGTTTAAAAGATGGGTAGGATTTAGGTGGGTGAGGAGAGGGAGAAAGCACTTCACCAGATTAGAAAGGCTTAGACAATCATGAACAGTGAACTAATCCGTTTAGCTGAACTTTCACTGAACAAGGGGTCAAACATGTTGATGGGGTCCATGTTGTGAAGAGTCCTGAAACCCTTATCCTGTGGTCCATGTGCAATCAACCATAAAGCCACTTAAAGGTTAAGAGTATAGTAAAGAACTGTAATTTATGGAATTCCCTTTTCACCTATGATGTTGCAGAGGCTGTAACTAGGACCACAGTGTCTTTTCAGATCTGTAGAGAAGTCACTGGTTTCATAAAAGTCTAAATAAATGCTTGAGGACAGGAACCATGTCCTGTAACCTCTCTGGGTGAACACTAAACGTGTTCTATGGATGAATCTCTTCGTATTATTAGGACTTGTCCCCTCCAAGAAGGAGCCCATACTCCAGATTCAGGATACTCTAACCTCCTCCTCATTCTCCAAGAGCTGTGAACTCACAGGGTTAATGGAAATCACCATGCCAAGCCCTAATTGCTTTACTAATCAGATTTCAGAGCAGACGTCTGGTTCATTTATTCAAAATTTACTAGGCACCTTCTGTATGCCAGGCACTGTATTAGGACTAGAGAACTATCATAAATAATACAGAGGAGGTCCCTGTCCTCCAAGAATTTACAGACTCTAATGGGGGAAAGAGAGTAAATATAAATATACAATTAAAGACTACCTGAGGGCAAGAAAGGAAATATACAGGGCGCTATGAAAGAGAATAACAAAGTTATGGAAAGACTCTCTGAGGAAAAGAGCATCTAAATTGAGGCCTACAGAATAACCCAGGTTAAAAGCTGTCAAAGTGCAATGCTCATATTTCAGGAATCCTTACCCCAACTTTTCCAAGAAAAGGTCCTAAGATGTAAAGAACTAGGTGCAGAGTGACAAAAGCCTGAGTGACTGAAGCACTCTGAGCAAAAGAAATGATGGGCGACTAGGGGTGGGCTTCTGCAATGTCGGCTGCGGAAAGGTGTTTGGATTTTGTTCTAAATGCACTGGGAGGCACTCAAGGGTTTTAAGCAAAAGAATATCTACGTTGGATGTACGCTTTTACAGGGCCGCTCTGGCCAGTGTGTGGTAGATAGACTGGTTTCCAACTACCGAGAATACTGTGACTGGGAAAGATCAGTGAGCCAGGGAACCGTGGCCCAGTCGGGGCGAGATGGCTGAAGCTCCGTTAAGATTGCGGCGCAGGTCTTTATCGCTGAAGGGAGGCACCAAGTACTATGATCCAGGTCCCGGCGGAGGTGCTCAGTCACAGGCCCAGCTAGAAGCAATGACCCGACTGGATGGCAGAGCCAGGGACCGCCTAAAACCCCGCACTACCGCCGGCCCGGGAGCTCTGAGCCGCCCCATACGGACTCTAGAAAGTTCCTCCAGCGTCCCGAAGAGATGCGTACCCCAGTGTCCGAGTACGACCATGCCACATTCCTCCGCCGAAGCCCTGGGTTGAGCACAGGATGCTGGCTGCACCCGACCCTTCAACCGCGACACCACCTTCCCAACCAGCCCGGCGCCTCACCGGCCACGAGAACCGCTCCACTCACTTCCGCCGCCACCGCCATCTTACCGCGGCAGGCGTGCAAAGGCGGGACTTCCCTGGGCCCGCTGAGCGTGCCGGAGGAGGGGCCCGGAAGCAGAACTGGAAAGCTCTTCCGTCGCACCCCGCGCATTCCCATAGTGCTCCACGATAGCGGCTATGGAGGCCGGCATGACAGCGGTCCTCCGCGTGAAGCGGAAACGCAGTGCGGAACCCGCTGAGGCACTTGTCCTTGCTTGTAAACGTCTCTGCTCCAGCGCAGTTGAGTCGGGAGCCCAAAAGACGCCTCCGGAGGATCTGGAGAGAGCAGCAGAAAATAATGTCTTCCAGTTGGTGGCCACCGTGCGCTCCCAGGTATAGGGCCGGGAGGGAGCCAGTGTGAAAGGGTTCTTAGGGCGCAGCTGGGGCGCATCATTTTCCCTAACCCTTTCACGAACCCCTGCTTATGCCGCCCCACACCCCCGCTTTTTTCCTCCTCCCCACTCCCCACAGGAGGAGCCAGTACAGCCGCTCGTGCGAGCCGCCCTGCGCCCGTCCCAGGGCAGCCAGCAGCGTATCCGCCGTCATCTCCGTGCGTCGGCTCGGGAAATCCGGCAGAACGGCCGCTACAGGGTAGTCTCTAGCCGCCGATCCTCGGGAATTCCTTCGGGCGGCTTGGGGTCCGAGGACGCGCCGGGAAGCCCAGAAGCCGCCGAGGACGCAGGCTTCCAGCTGTTGGACCTGGTCCACGAGGAAGGAGACCCAGAGGCCGCCGCGATCTCCTGCAAAGTGAGTACACGCCGGGAGTCGAGCTTTGGGCTTCTCGGGACAGAGAGTACGCAAAGTTAGCACACAGTTAAGGAGGGTACACATGGCTTCACTTTAGAGATGGATGATCCATCCAGCTTGATGGACATGTTTTACAGGTTAGATTATCCATTCAACAAGTATTTACTCAGCGCCCACTATGTGCCAGGCATGGTTCTTAGGTTCTGTGGATACAGCAGTGAGGACCTAACATTCAGGTAGAGGAGAGAAACATCACACAAATTCAGTGTCAGATGGTGAATGGGCTATTGAGGGCAGGGAGAGCGTGCTCCCATTTCAATGTCATTTTCACTGAGAAAATGACTTTTGAGTAAAGACTTGAATGGCAAGGCACTGCGGATATCTTGGGCAGAGGGATTCCACACTGAGGAGCTCTAAGTGCAAAGACCCTGAAGCTGAATTTGTCTGGTGTTTGCAAGGTCATTGTGCATGGAGCCCAGGGGGATGGGGGAAGATAGTAAGGAATTTGGGGAGAGGTTACCTGCTAAACCCTTTCAGCTAGGTAGTTGGAAGGATACATTGCGTTTCACCCAGAGATGGGGAATCACTGGAGGATTCTGACCAAGGTAAAGAATCCTAAAGCAGATGGGAAAACTCATCAAAGGGAGGTTAAAGGACCAGGCCTGGGTAGCTTACCAAGTTTGAGGCAGATTTTGGATTAGAATGCAAGTCTTCTCACATTTAATTCAGTGTTAATTTCTTTTTTTTTTTTTAACTTTATCTTTGGCTCTGTTGGGACTTCGTTGCTGTGTGTGGGCTTTCTCTAGTTGAGGCGAGTGGGGTCTACTCTTCGTTGTGGTGTGCGGGCTTCTCATTGTGGTGGCTTCTCTTGTTGCAGAGCACGGGCTCTAGGTGCACAGGCTTCAGTAGTTGTGGCTCACGGGGTCTAGAGCTCAGGCTCAGTAGTTGTGGCGCACGGGCTTAGCTGTTCCGCGGCATGTGGGATCTTCCCGGACCAGGGATTGAACCCCTCTCCCCTGCATTGGCAGGTGGATTCTCAACCACTGTGCCACCAGGGAAGCCCCCAGTGTTACTTTCTACTAATTACATTTTCTAGGTTAGTTTTGTACCTCACTTCCAAAAAGCAAAGTCAACTACATGCAGTAAGACCAAAGAAATAGAAAATTGTCAATCTAAGGTATGCCCCCTCTTCATAAACATTTTTCAAATCTCCTTTTAAGTTTTTGAAGTTTAAAAAATGAAATCTTGGGCTTCCCTGGTGGCGCAGTGGTTAAGAATCTGCCCGCCAGTGCTCAATGCTGGGGATACAGGTTCAAACCCTGGTCTGGGAAGATCCCAAATGCCGCAGAGCAACTAAGCCCGTGCGCCACAACTACTGAGCCCGCGTGCTGCAACTACTGAAGCCTGCGCACCTAGAGCCTGTGCTCTGCAACAAGAGAAGCCACCGCAATGAGAAGCCCGTGCACCGCAACAAAGAGTAGCCCCCACTTGCCGCAATTAGAGAAAGCCCGCACGCAGCAACAAAGACCCAACACAGCCAAAAATAAAAAATAAATTTATTTTTTAAAAATGAAATTTTTTTTCAAAATATATCAAGCAAAAGATATTTAATCACATTCCTAGGATACGTGGATAACAATTTGGGCATGATGTCCATAGCCATCTCTTTTACCAAAACTAATTCCACATTGCATCATGAGTTACACATTTTTAAAAGCAAACCAGTGTTCAGTGGAATCAAGTCAATTAAATAGCTCATTAAATCATATAAGAAAAACTAGTAGATAAGTTAGGAAGGATATAAACACAGATTTTCCCAACAATGCAATACAAACTGTAAACACATCAAAAATGTTTGCACAGAATAATTATTAAAGAACATAAATTTAAACTGAAAGCAAACTTGAGGTTTTATGCCTACTAGACTATCAGGAAAAGGGTTGCCGGTAGCTCTGCTGGCAAGGCTGTAATTAAAATTGTACGACTGTTGTGCTTAAAATTGATGCAAGCCTTTGGGAAAACAGCAGGGCTTTACAGTAATATCAGGCATCCTAAAAATAGATTGGAGCCTAGTATTTTAAAACTATTTTTATTGTTTGGATTCTAAAGCCATCCAGAAATCTAAAGAGATTTTTGTTGTTGTTGGCTGTGTTGGGTCTTCGTTGCTGCACGCGGGCTTTCTCTAGTTGCGGCGAGCGGTGGCTATTCTTCCTTGTGGTGCACAGGCTTCTCATTGCGGTGGCTTCTCTTATTGTGGAGATCTAGGCGTGCGGGCTTCAGTAGTTGTGGCTCGCAGGCTCTAGAACGCAGGCTCAGTAGTTGTGGCGCACAGGCTTAGCTGCTCCACAGCATGTGGGATCTTCCCAGACCAGGGATTGGACCCATGTCCCCTGCATTGGCAGGCGGATTCTTAACCATTGTACCACCAGGGAAGTATCTAAAGAGATTTTAAAATTAGTGAGAGCATTTCTCTGCTACATTACAGTGGGTTTCTTCTTAAATTGAAATGATCTCAGTTTTTTAAAGTTTTTATTTTATTTATTTATTTATCTATTTACTTATTTGGTTGCGTGGGGTCTTAGTTGCGGCACGCGGGCTCCTTCGGCACACATGTGGGATCTAGTTCCCTGACCAGGGATTGAACCCAGGCCCCCTGCATTGGGAGCGTGGAGTCTTAACCACTGAGCCACCAGGGAAGTCCCAACATGATCTAAGTTTTAAACAAAGTATATTTGACAACAAATCTGAAAAATTAAAGGGGAAAAGTTCAGTTCATTTTATTTAGTAATTTCACCCCCAGGATTTATCTTAGGGAGATAATTCAGCAGAAGCAAATAGCTATGGTATTAACAAAAGCGACTATTGGTATACTAAGTAATTACGTGTCAAGTACTGTGTTAGGTACTCTCCCCCCCCCCCACTTTAACTCATTTTATCCTCAGAAAAACCATATAAGGTATTTTTATCTCCATTTTTCAAATGCAAGAATTGACACATTCATTGCAATGTTGTGTATGGAGGCTAAAAACTATGTCTAAGAAATTGACATGTGCAACTGCTTGGACCATTAAATTGATAACTGTGAAGACTGGAAAGATGGGAAAATACTTAATTTATGTTTAATAATAGAAAATGCTGTATGTAGCATAATTGAAAATATAGGTAAACATACACAGACTAGGCAATTTTTCTTTTATGAAAATAATATATGTTCATTACAGGAAATTTGAAAAAATAGTAGCAAAATTGGAAGTAAAAGGGCAGGGGCAAAGCACCCATTTTACCCCCATCCCAAAGATAACTGGAGTAAAATTGGTTTATTTCCTTTTGAGTGTAAAATTCTATGTCTGGCGTTTTTCTGTATTGCTAGTTTGGTTTTTTTAATTTTATTTTTGGCTGCATTGGGTCTTCGTTGCTGCGTGCGGGCTTTCTCTAGTTGTGGTGAGCTGGGGCTACTTTCGTTGCAGTGTGCGGACTTCTCATTGCAGTGGCTTCTCTTGTTGCAGAGCACGGGCTCTAGGCATGCAGGATTCAGTAGTTAATGGCACGCGGGCTCTAGAGCACAGGCTCAGTAGTTGTGGCGCATGGCCTTAGTTGCACTGCGGCACGTGGGATCTTCCCGGACCAGGGCTCAAACCCGTGTCCCCTGCATTGCCAGGTGAATTCTTAACCACTGCGCTACCAGGGAAGCCCCTGTTGTTTTGTTTTTTCAATATATTTACTTATTTATTTTTGGTTGTGTTGGGTCTTCGTTGCTGTGTGCGGGCCTTCTCTAGTTGCAGTGCGCAGGCTTCCCATTGCAGTGGCTTCTCTTGTTGCGAAGCACGGGCTGTAGGCGCACGGGCTTCAGTAGTTGTGGCGCAGGGCTTAATTGCTCCGTGGCATGTGGGATCTTCCCGGACCAGGGCTTGAACCCGTGTCCCCTGCATTGGCAGGCAGGTTCTTAACCACTGCGCCACCAGGGAAGTCCCTGTATTGCTAGTTTTTGTAAATATTTTAATGGCTGCATAATTTGTTGAACCGAAGGCTGGGGGCTTGTGAGTTGGAACCAGAAGTTTTCTTGTGAGCAGCTTTGAGGTTGGTCAAGATTCTGCACAAAAACTGGCATCTCTAGTTCCTTTTGACTTTGGAGCAAGAAAGAATTAATTCCCTGTAGCCTGTAAATGATGAGAACATTGGTCTCCCTTTATCTGCCCTGGCCATGGGACACCCCACTCTTCCCCCTGTATGGTGTCTGGTTTGAGCTGCAGAGCTTCCGGGTGATGAACCTGTCAAGCGTGACTGGCAGTATGTCCCTGTGGTTTCCAAATTGACCTGTGCTACCCTAGACAACACAGCCTCTTGCCACTGGAGCACATCTTACCTGGGCAAGTTCTATTCTGGGGCAATCCATCTCAAACTATCAGGAAAAGGATTATAGGGCTTCCCTGGTGGCGCAGTGGTTGAGAGTCCTCCTGCCGATGCAGGGGACACGGGTTTGTGCCCCGGTCCAGGAGGATCCCACATGCCGCGGAGCGGCTGGGCCCGTGAGCCATGGCCGCTGAGCCTGTGCGTCCGGAGCCTGTGCTCCACAACGGGAGAGGCCACAACTGTGAGAGACCCGCATACCGCAAAAAAAAAAAATACAGAAAGAGGATTATAGGGGAGGCCACTCCTCGTTTGTGACTAAAAGCAGGATGTCAGGGTGAGCAAGCCAAGTGGTGGGTGATGCGTGGTGGTAGTCACCAGGGTCCAGAAATCGCCCTTAGGCCCATATAGGAGGCAGCACAAAATGCAGACCCATTTGGGGATCAACCATAGGGGTGCTGCTGTCGGCCTGTGGATCTCCAAGGGGAGAACATCATACCGAAGGAGCTCAGAGAAGACCTGTAGAAGCAGAGCCTGGGGGCAAGACTAGCCAGCTCTGCTGGCTCTCCCCTTCCTCAGGCCAGTCTTCCTGTGTGCTCTTATGTCAGCCAAGCACAAAAGAGAGGAAGCTATCTTGTAAGCTTCTATCTTAAAAAAAGTACTAAACTGAGAAAAGACTAGTAGGCCATGGGGATAAGAATCTTGAATTCAACATAGAGAACTGCAGGGAGGCTTCCTTCACCAAGGTCTTAGGCTCCTCCTCTTGGGACATCCATGTTTTAAGTTATGCATGTATCATCTACTGTTCTCTTTACAGACATCTGACCCAGATGTGATCCTCTGCAATTCTGTAGAGTTGATCCGTGAGCGGTTGACTGTATCTGAAGATGGACCAAGAGCTGGGTACCAGGAGGAACAGGACAACTATGTGTATGACATTTACTATTTGGACATGGCCACTCCAGGATGGATTGAGAACATCCTCTCTGTGCAGCCCTATAGCCAAGAGTGGGAGTTGGTAAGGGGGCCCATGAGGCAGGGGGCATCAGGCAGCCTCAGTTCATTTTCTAGTCACATGCTTTGCCCCCCCAGGTTCTACTCCTGATTGCCATTGTTCTTAGTTCTTCTTATCCTTGCTTAAAAGGAAAAATTTATGCTAAATGCCTTTTAGAAACGTGAGTTTAGTGCAGGAATTTGGGGAAAGACAGTCTACATTGATAATTTTTGCTCTTAATGAGTCTCTTACAAGGTTTGCAACATAGTCTTGTTTATGCAGTTGGCCCTGTGTAATTTGCAGGTTCCATGGGCTCTGCACCCCCAAATTCAGCCAACCACAGATCAAAAATATTCCGGTGGGGGAAATTCCAGAAAGTTACATAAGGCAAAATTTGAATTTGCTGCACATTGGCAACTATTTACATAGTATTTGCATAGTATTAGGTATTACGAGTAATCTAGAGATGATTTAAAGTATATGAGAGTAAAGCAACTATACTCCAATTAAAATTAATTTAAAAAAAATAAGTAAAAATTTAAAAGAATAAAGTATATGAGAGAATGTGCATAGGCTATATGGAAATACTTAGCCATTTTGTGTAAGGGACCTATGGAAACAAAAGCTTTTTTTTTTTTTAATTGTATCTTAAAGGGTGAAAAACCTTGGATTAAGAAAGCTAACATCCTGACGTTATTAAATTCTAAAATTATTAATGAGAAAAGTTAAGGTCTACCTCTCATCCTCTTATTGTGAGAAGCACCCTATCCCACACCTGCACTATAACTAGTCTCACGGTCAGGTACCCACCTTGGACTACTGCATAGCCCCCCCCCCCCTTTCTGCATTTCACACTTGGGTTTTGGCTCTAACCTTTGGCATCACCTGTAACCCATATAATCCCTCTCCTACCTGGCTGGCCTTCAGCAGTTTGAAGTTCACTGCTGTCACCTGCTCAGAGCCGTCTCTCCTCAGCACCCTGCTGCGTTCCCTTCTGGTAGAGTTCAGATCATCCAATCAGGAAATGTGGTTCCTGGAGCTGGACTCTGAGTAGAGTAGGGCTACTGTCTCCCTCTCATAGCCTAAGGTTCCTACAGCCTCTAGCAAACTAACAAACACCTATGTTTTCTCTTTTTCACACATCACCCTTAAATGACATCTCTCCAAGTTGGTCTGCTGATAGCTTCCCCCAGAGCATAACTTTAGAGGTTTTGACTTATACTCATGTTTATGTTGAGATGTGCAGGTGAATGATGACCAACAACCAGAGGACATTTATGAAGATGAAGATGATGAGAACAGTGAGAATAATTGGCGCAATGAGTACCCAGAGGAGGAGAACAGTGACGGAGATAAAGATTCCAGAGGTAGGTGGTAGCCCTGGTTGGGGAGGGACTGATGGGATCTGGAACTGAGGTGTGAGCAAGGTTGACAGGTGTATCTTAGCTGGTTTTCCTTTTCTGCCCTTTGAGCTCCATCAGCTTAACCACAAGCTGGTGGAGCTGTAGCACATGCAAGGACCAGTGTTCCCAGGGGGGCTGCTGGAGGTATAATGTCAGTTAGGCCTGGGTTCAGATCCTTAGTTCTTTCATTGCCTAGCAATGGTCCCTTTCCCTCCTACTTTGAATAGAGTGCTGGAGAGGTCTGCCAGTAGGAGTGGGCCCAGGGTTTTCACAAACCAAAGAATTGTTGCATTTACCTGTGCAACAACACAGACATGGTACTTGGGGGAAGAGGAAGGAAGGATGCTTTGGTACCACAGTTCTTTGACTTTCTTGGTGTTTGATGACAGAGGAACAGTTAGTCAAGCTGTGGGATATTCTATTGGGGAAGTGGCAAGGAACAAAATTATATTTGCAATATGACTACAACTATTATAACAACAACAAAAAAATACTGAGGGGAAAATGACAAAGCACTGCAATGTTAAAGGACTTGGTTTACGTGGTAAGAATTTTATTGCTTTTTAAAAAATTGTTCTATGTTCTAAATTTTCTTTATTGAGCAAGTATTTTATAATAGGAAACAAAACAGACTTTTTTGAGAGGGGCTTTTGTGGTCATTTAGAAAACCATACAATTAGAGCCCATTCCTGTTATCTCATTCTAGTCTCTGATGATTACAACAGCCTCAGTGAAGAAGAAGGAGACAACAGAGGACCACAGATGTGGAGCAAATACCCTTTGGATGTGCAGAAGGAGTTTGGCTATGACAGCCCCCATGACCTGGATTCAGACTGATGATCCTGTGATATCCATGAGGTTCTACCACAGCCCCTGAGGGTTCTGTGACTGCAGTGTCAGCCACACTAGTTAACATCCTCTCGGGTTTCCTAGCTTAACACGTGGAAGGAAAAAGCATATTCAACAGCACCATTCCACCATGGTGAAAACTTGCACTAAGGGAGTCCGTCTTTTCTACTATCTGTAGGGCCCCCCTTTGTCTCAATCAAAACTGACCTTAGAGTCTGGGGGCAGGGGAGATGCTGTGAAAGTGAAGCTTCCTGGCCCAGACATTTTACCTGCATTCCCATTCTCCTCCTACGCCAAAGCCAATTAAGGGGAAGAGAGTCTCCCGTTTTGTCAGCACTAAGACTGGGCTTTCCCAGGCCACCTGCCTCCAGTAAAAGGCTGTTTCTTTTGATAGAGAGACTCTAGAAGGGCTGCAGTGGGTCCCTTGTAGCGGCACAGACTGGATAGTAATGGCCATTAGGAAAGAAAGTAGAATCTGCCTGAGCCATGAGAGGTTTTAGTTAAAAGCTATCTCTACCTCCCTGCTTCCTGACTCTGATAATGGCTGTAAAGATTGCCAGTTTCCTCTGGCAGTGGTGCCAAGGAACAGGGTATGTGTGAATCTCTTTAATAAAAACTAACTTTGAACAGGGGAGCAAGTAATTCCTTTAAAACCTTTTTAAATCTGACTATCTTATATCCTTTCCCACCATACTCTCTGATCCCTTTACCCCCCACCAAAAGGGGGGAGGGGTTGGTGAGAAGTTTCAGACACTAAGAACTTAAGGCAAGTGCAAAGCACATCCTAAACTTGGCTTTCCATTGAGAAATGTTTAACTAGACACAGCACTCACCAAAAACAAACTACAGTCAACAGGACCAATTTTTCTTTTACCAAAACTGGTATCTCTTGTAAGCACCCTCCCTTTCCCTATTCCTTTCCAAACCACAAATGCCTTAACTCTGACTGAGTTGGCATTTATTCTGCAGTGACGAATAGGTTCTATATCTGCACTGTGCAATAGTAGCCATTAGCCACGTATGGCTGTTGAGCACTTGAAATGTGATTAGTGCAACTGAGGAATTGAATTTTTCAATTTTATTTAACTTAACTAGCTACATGTAGCTAGTAGCTGCCATACTGGACTGCACAGGTCTAGGGAAACAATATACAGAAACTTTGATTCAAGGTGTGCCCTCTTGCCCTGTGGCACAGACTTATTATCACATGGGAAGATAAATTACCCAAGGAAACGTCTTCTTCCTGCCAATTCTAAGATTCCATAAGCATCTCTACTTTTCTATCCTACCTGCACCCATTTCACTTTATATTTTTGGTACATCTTTATCTTCTTATCTACAAGTTGTTAAACCTCCCAACGTGATTAATTTCCATGTGTATGTATACTCGGACCCTACTATTGCAGTTATAAAACCAACAAACAGACTTGGTTTCCCAACCTAACTATCCACTAAGGTGCAATTCAGTGCTGCAATAACAGGCAGCAACTTACAGATCTAATACTAGTCATCTCAGTCTCCTGTAAGCATAGAAACAAAGGATTGAAAACCACTCTGCCATTATAATGTGCTTACTGCTGTTTCTGTACTCATTTACAGTTTGCCAACATTAAAGGGCTGACAGCTTCACAAACTGTACCCACTGCAAAAGGGATTAGCACACCAGGAGAAGGATTGAAGGAGATAAACAACAAAGACCTTGCAGAAATTAATTCCACTAGGAAGCTTGAGTGCTGTAAGGAGTCTCTGGCATCACTCCCTCAGAAGGCTTCCTGGGAGAAGTCTGTATCCAGCACAGAGGGGAAGAATGCGGTCACCATCCAGTAATGAGAGGAGGGTGACAGGGCTCACTAAGCAAGTACTAGGGCACCTGGAGTGTGAGGGCCTTGCTTCCCCCTGGAGCCACTGGGAGGCCACAAGTTCCCGAGATCAGCTGGTCATTTACTTCAGTAGAGAAAACTAAAGCCTGGGTCAGGGATCCTTCAAAGACAAGTGCAGTCTGCTTGAAGAATTAGCTCCAGAGGATCCCTGGGATAGGTGCCAGATTGGGTCAGACAGGAGTCATGTTTACACAGTCTGGGCAAGTCAGCCTTTGCACAAGACTCCCTGTTGTCAGGCAAATCCCTAACCCATGACAGTAGGAATGTGCTCCCATGTTCTCACAGATGTGTGCATGCCCTGAACCAAAGGCAGCTGTGAGCATGCTCCCCTAAATTGCCTTTATTGAGCAAGTGTGACCAAGGTTAGTCCCCTTGTCTGCAACTGGGGCCGGTTTGGTGGAGAATGGTCAGAAAGGTAGATTGCCTCATAGTTCCCATCTTTATCATTGACCAGTTTCAAAACCTAAGGACAAGAAGCCCATGGGGCATACCAAGCCAGCAGGTTCTTCTGGGTCCAGGATGACAGTGTCTGGAAGCATCACAGGACAGTTGTCCAATCCAGTGCAGCCATGTGGCCCATGAAGGAACATCCATTAGGGCAAACCTACCCCTTTGGCCAGACCTGGGTGCTAAAGCACAGCCTGAGCACCAGAATTAGTTGCTTCCGATCATGAATCTGCTGATGGAGGTTGAAGCAGCTTTATTTCCAGAGTCTTCACTGATCTCCACAGAGAAAACAGAAGTCTCCAAAGTGCCAAGCTCTTCCTGAGACTGCAGCCCCACCAGACCTCAGGCAAGGGGAGGCAGGCAGGAGATGAGTGCATTATCCCGATGATCCACACCAAGGTGGCTCAGTGTAAAACAAGCCTGGTGTCAGGGACAGAAGAGGAGGAGGATGCAGCCTGGTGTGAGGTTTTCAGAAAAATGACCACTTCTAGCACCAAGATGGACTTGCATGGGCCTGCACAGCAGCCCCTCATACCGGCCCTTACAGAGAGGAACAAGCTACTTGTCAGTTTGGGTCCAGGAGATGTTCTCTAAACCATTGACAGCTGAAAGAATTGAAGTGATTCACCTGAATCCTAGGACAGTTTCTCCCCTTTCAGAGTTCATACCAGAAACCCAGGGATTTGCTTTTTGTCAACTAGAACAAAGACCTAAGGTCGCAAGTAAAATAAAGGATTATCTTTCAAAGTAGCAGTATTACCAGACCTCTGACTCATGAATTTGTTTACCTGTGTCCTTGTGGAAGTTGAGCCAGGTGCTTGTAACATGTGACCTATCTGTATACTGAAGTGTAACTGGTACATGAGTAAAAAATCTTTAAAATTCACCTCTGCAGGTAAGACTCAACAGAAGACTGTGCTAAAACCGAGCAAAACAATCTGTGGTCAGAGTCTGACCCACCACCACCACATAGACACCTCTAAGGTCAGAGGGACTTGCTTTGGGATACTTTGAATTTTTAAACACAATCAGCCTACTGCATCCTGTAGATTAATGAACACCAATGCTTTGCTAGAACTGGTGTCCTGGATTAAATAATATCAATAAATAATAGAATACAACTCTTTCACCAGGAAAGGATTTTGAGCCAGAGGAAGAAAGGTAGCATTTCAGGCCTCTAATGTCAGATGCTTGGACCTGGTCAGAGGAAAACTTCCCATAAAGCAGCCCCTTTGTAGAAACTCCTGGTTCAGACCTCAAATAAATTCAGAAACCACCAGCCACAGCTATTAACCTAGCACTCCCAAGTAAGTGTTTGCAAGGGCTGCACCTACTCACCAGGAACAAAACTAAGCAACCATTCCCCTATTCCCTGAGCCCTCTGCCACCACCACCCTCTGAAGTCCCCACCTTCGGGCTGGCCCCAGACCCTGAGACCCATAGCTTACCGATAAGAGTGACCACCAGAGCAGGCCATCAGCCCTGAGCCCCCTTACATAATGTGGGCCAACAGCCCTCCTTGAGTATAAGAGAGTTGGGTCCACACAGTCTTGTCATCTGGACTTCAGTGGCTGTGGCCACAGGTAGCAGCCTTCCAGGCCTCAGAGGATATCACCTCTGGCCTCTACTCAGTTTTCCTCTCAACCTGTCTCTCTTCAGCTACATCTAGCTCAGTCAGGACACAAAAGCAAAGCTTCTGGGTGACTTTGGTGATAGCAGCTAAATGAAAATAGAGAATAGAATTTAGCAAACTGACATTTAGCCACAGCCCCAGTCTGAACACCACAAGGCTGATTAAAAGCATGTGGTTCCCTCCCCACCTGTCCCCTGGGTACCCTGTACCAAGCTCACCCCCAGCAAGCCTCACTGCCCTCCATCCCATGCCCCACCAGAGAGTCTGATGCATGACTCCTTGTCTTGCTATATGGACTGAACTTTCAGGAGGGAGTGTTTTAACCCCAAAATACAAGTCTAAAGTTGGAATTAAAGTCATCATGTCAAGACCAAAAGGGGTGGCCAGGCTTCCAGCATATCACTAGTATGTGGAAGCTATTAGCCACCACACCCACCTGTGCATGCGTCTTTGTATACACACACACACAAGGCCAGTGTGTGATAGGCAAAGAGAAGCTCACCAAGGACATTCCGAATAAAGAGTGGTCTCCGGGACTCTGGCAGATAAACACCCAGGAAGTAGATGGGGACCCCAGAGAGGGCAATCCCGATGCCAATGAGGGAATTGATGGTGTCACTGAAGAGGGGCACAACCACCAGAAACAAGGAGCATACGCAGAACACGATGGGAAAAAACAGGCTCAGCTGAAATGAAGGGAGGTGAGATATTAGATAAAGTAGGATAGGGGAACAGGAGAATGGGGTACGGGGAAGAAGTCACCTTGGGGAGATGGCCCACCCCTCCTAGCCTAGAGCCACTGACCTTGAGAGGCCGGGGCCGCTCGGGCTCCTTCCAGCGAAGGTAGAGCTGTCCAGCGACAGACAGGCCCACAAAGAACCAGTAGCTGAAGCTGAAGTAGTTGATGAGCAGGAAGACATCCTCCACAGTGAGGTAGATGAGTGTCATGGTGCACTGGACAGGGAGAGGTTGGGGAGAAATGGGCACTGTCACCACCAAGCTACCCAGGAGACTCCACCATCAAGCAG